ATCTTGGTAATGAATCATCCTGCTTAGACTGATCCTGGGTAGACTGATCTTGGGACTGAAAACACTGAAGCTTTTTCTGAATTGGGATGGGAAGATAACCCTTCCTTCCATTGAGACCCAGCAGCCACCACATCTGACCTCCTCTGGCATAAAAGTCACCCAGTTCCACATCTCCTGGAGCATGTGGCTGCATATGTGAGCACACAGTATCCCCACATCTCACTATACGAACAGCATATCAAGCTCACTGAACAAAACCCCTAAACACAGAAGGCCCAGCCAGCACCAACCAGCTCAGTAAATCCTCAGAAAAAAGACTTTAGTAACACCATTGTGAGAGGTAACAATTGTCACAAACTGACTTTTATTGATCTGTTCTGTTGTGTTGTTTCTGCTTTTTGTTTTTTTGCTTTTTGGGTCACATCTGGCGATGCACAGGGATTACTCCTGGCTCTGTACTCAGGAATTACGCCTGGCGGTAGCTCAGGGTACCATATGCGATGCTGGGAATCGAACCCAGGTTGGCCATGTGCAAGGCAAACACCCTCCCTGCTGTGCTATCACTCCAGCCCCTGATCTGTTCTCTGATAATCCCATTTTCCATTTTGTTGTAACAAGCAGTATGAATTAAATTTGTGTCTGCTAAGAGGGCAGTCTTGGGTGGGGTGGGGGGGGCGGGTGGGAAACTGGGGACATTGGTGGAGGGAAGGTCACTCTGATGGTGGGATTGGTGTTGGAACATTGAATGCCTAAATGCCTGAAACAACTGTATTATGAACATTGAATCTATGTTTAAATTTTGAAAAATAGAAAGCAAAAAAAAAATATATATATATGGGGTCAGGAAGATGGTTCAAAGGACTGGAGCACATGCTTTGTATGAGAGAGACAGGGGCTTACTATCTAGCTGCACATGGTCCTTGAAGCACCACCAGGTGGCCCTGGTGGCACCGGATTGAGCAGCAACAGGCTGAGTATTGCTGTTGAGTGCCTCCAAATGCTCCTGAGAACTATTTGCAGAGACTTCAACAATAATAAAACTTTATTGGCTGGCAGGTAGGTCAGTGGGTTGGAGTGATGATTTTTATGTAGGACTCTTGGTTTGATCACCAGTGCTACATGGTCCCCCAAATATTGCCAGGAGTAGCCTGATCTCCAGTACTACACGGTCCCCTAAATACTGCCATGAGTACCTCCAGGAACACCACACTGGGAGGAGCCCCTGAGCATCACCCTTGAAGGCTGACCAAAAAATAAGGTGTGTGGCTCAGGGGGAATGGGTGTTCTCAATGGCATGCATGTGTTGCAGCCTGCTGTTCTGAATTCAATCCCTGGTGCTCCTACATGTGTCAGTACTATCCTGGTGACTCTGCTCTTGAGCCTGGCAATTCTGCTGTCTGTGATCCCTGGCGCAACCCCCAACTGAAAAAGACACCTGAGGGGTTAGAGAGTACAGTGGGTTGGACACTTGGCTTGCATGTGGTTGACCTGAGTTTGATCCCCAGAACCCCATATGCCCCCCTGTCCCCGTCCCAACAGGAGTGATCCCTGAGCACTGCTGGGTGTGACGCAAGAACAACAACAACAACAAAAAGAAAAGGATGAGTGAGCACTAAGGCCAGGAAGTGATACTGTGAGCAATGCAGGGACCCCGAAAGTGACCACTACCATAACTCACCAAGACAATGTTCATGAAAAATGAACTAGTTCCTGACGTTCCATTTGCTCTCAACGGAACGAACATCTCCAGATGTAGTAGCTATATGTACCTGGGTCGAGAACTCAACATGAGGAATGAGTTGGTGCCAGAAATGTGCAGGAGGAAGAGAGCGGCGTGGAATGCCTTCAAGAGCGTCGAAGAAGTTGTTAAGAGGATGAAGAGCCTCCGGCTCCGGGCACATCTCTTTGACTCCACTGTTCTTCCTGCACTAACATATGCCTCAGAGACCTGGGCCCTATGAAAACAGGACGAAAACGATATTTTGGTATTCCAAAAGAACTATGCTTTGAGTATCCTGCTTCCCTCAAGTGAGAGAAGGAATTTGGAGTTTTGACCTCTGTTGATGATCAAGAATCAGGGACGCTGCCTCTTTTGCCAAGGCATCGAAAATCAGATGGGTCGGACACATAATGCGATTTGGAGATGACCACTGGACTAGTGCCGTTACCTACTGGATTCCATGGGACGTCAAAAGGATGCGTGGCCACCCATCTGTAAGATGGTCAGACTTCTTTGTCAAAACCCTGAACAAATTGGTTTGAGGCTCTTCGTGTTCCTGGAGCGAACAGATGCCATTGGGCTATACTAACACGCGACAGGGACAAATGGAGATGTTACTGGTGCCCACTCGAGCAAATCGAAGATCAACGGGATGACAAGTGATACAAGTGATACCATAACGTCTGTGCCTGAGCTAAGAGTGAGAGCCCCTAGAGCAAATCACATATGCAAGCACCACAACTAGGCCAGTGCCAACCTCAACCAGCCATACAGCCGGCTAAGTTTAGGTAACCACCACCTGATAGGCGATGCCCAGTGAGCACCCCAGCCACGCATGCACCTGGCCCCCTAATCCCTCTCCCCTATCATAACAAGGCAGGTGGGAATTGTATAGATAGGTTGTTTTTAGGACCTTCCTGAGGACACACATCAGTCACTCTTGACTCCAGAGCACATTTTTGGTCTTTACTCAGCATCTGATACAGCATTTCAGGTATTTCTTTTTCTCCTTTTTGGGCCACCCCCACCCAGCAGTACTCAGGGCTTACTCCCATTTCTGTGCTCAGTGATCACTTCTGCTGGTGCTGAGGGGGAATAAATATAATACATGGTGTTTGGGATCAAGCATGGCTACAGCATGCAAGGTTTCACCTCCCTCCCCAACCCCCCCGTACTATGTCTCTGGCCTTTAATGGATGTTCCTGTGTCTCCCCCAGGGAGAGAGTCCTGCACCTGGGCCAGTTCAGTGTTGCTCTCGTCGTGGCACTGCCGAGGTAGCTCCATCTTCGGACAGCAAGTGCAGGACTGGTTGTGCCATTAAATCCCAGTGGTGGGCTGGAGTCATAGTTCAACAGAGAATGTGCTTGTCTTGTACGTGGCCCACTGGGGTTCAGTCAGGCATCCCATATATTCTCTTGAGCACTGCCAGGAGTGATCCCTGAGTGCAGAGCCAGGAGCAGTCTCTGAGCATCACATCACCAGGAGGGGACCCCAAACAAATAACAACAAAAAAGTCCCAGTGGTGCCAGGAAATTGATAAAGGGAAAGAATCTGCACCCCCACCCCTTAAGCTTTTTCTATGCTACATTTTAGAAGACAGCTATCTACAAAATTTTAAGTCCAAAGTTCTTGCACTTGGGGTTCTTAAAAAAAAATGTGTGCCACATGGGAGGGGCTCAGGGTCCATCCTGGTGTTGGGCTTGTTTCCATGAAATCATGAGTTTCTGGCCCTCGGAGCTCGCTCTCTCTCTCTCTCTCTCTCTCTCTCTCTCTCTCTCTCTCTCTCTCTCTCTCTCTGGCTCTGTAAATAGAAATCTGAAGGAACCAGGCTCTCTACCATTTTTGCATTGTCTGGGGTCAAGCACGTTCTCACCCAAGGTTAAGGCACTGGCTCTATCATTGAGCCACAGCCCCCTCCCCCAAATAATTAAGGTAATGGCAGGATAATCTCTCTTACCGCCATTTCAGTTTCTGCTTCTTTTTTTTTTTTTTAATTGTGTGGTCCGCACCTGTGATGCTGAGGAGATGGGGGCGGGGAGGACTTGCGAGGGATGCAGAGGTAGAGGGAGTGGACTGATCAGCCCCTGCTCTTCTAGTGGAAAGGAAGCCAGTCAAGCAGGGGTCTGCGGGGTCCCAGAGCTGCCTCAGTTTTTTTTTTTTAAATCCACACTCACCCCTCCTACCTAGCACTGCATTATAAGGCATCTAAGGGATTCTCATTTGGTTAACTAATGAGCCTGAGAAACTTTCCATTTCCCTGGCTCTGATGTTTTCTGGCAGAGAAATGAAGAAATCCCGACCGGAATCCATTTGTTGTTGGAAAAGGTCATTTGGAGGCACACCACGTGCAGACTGAGTTCTGGAGCCTTCAGTCTTTTCAGGGAAGGCTCGAGCTGGGGCTCGCGTGCGTGTTAGAGCTGAGATCCCTTACGGTCTCAAGGACCGCCCTGCACCCAGGCTTTAGGTTGGGGGGGGCTACACCGGGCTGTGCTTAGGGTTTACTCCTGGCTCTGCGCTCAGGGATCGCTCCAGACGGACTGGGAGGACCCTGTGGGGTGCAGGGGTTCACGGGAAGCGCCCCCCCACCCCCCGTACTATTTCTCCATCCCCCAGGCTGAGCACGACGCCTTTCCAACTCCAGGCTGACTGCACTTTCTCTTTCGGTCCTCGTGCTTGTCTCTCCCAAAGCTGGTCTTATGCAATCACCTGGGGCGGGGGTGTGATTTTCACTTCCACGTTCTCCTCGGACTCCTGAGAACCCTCTGGCTGGGCTAGATATATAAACACGCTGGAGGTTTGAGCTCCATGGGTCTAAAACTTGCACCTTGGAAGCATCTGAAGGGCTTTAAAAACTGTTGCTGGTGCCTGGATCTCCCTCCCGCTCCGCTCTCCCCCCCCAGATATTCCAGTGAGAATCCACCGATAGGATGGCTGAAGGTCTGAAACGTGCCATCCTAGGTGCCTCGCGCACAGCCGCGGCTGAGAAACACGGCAGGGGCAGATTCAGTCCTGGGCTGTAAAGGGTTAAAGTGGAATCAGACGGGGGCGTGGCCTCGCGGAAGGGGGCGTGGTCTGGCCGAAGCGCGGAGGCTCGACCCGGGGGCGCAGACTCTGACGGGGCGTGGCCTTGTCGGGGGCGTGGCCTGTGGCGAAGGCGGGAGCGCCGGGGCCGCGGCGGCCTGCGGACTCCGGCTCTGGAGGGCGAAAGGAAACGCCTCCTCTCCGCAAAACAAAGAGACGCGGGAGGCGTGCGCGGTCCGTGCGTGCACGCCCGCAGGGACAGCGGCCTCCCGGCGCTTCGGGCCGCCTCCGAAGAGGCGACGATGGCGGGCAGCCCGGCGCGAGGCCAGCGCTCGGGCTCCAAGGTATCCCGCGCACCGGCGCAGGTCAGCTCCGACGTGGAGGAGCTGCAGAGCCGCTTGCAAGAGACCCTGGACGTGCTGACCCCGCACGAGCTGCGCAGCTTCCGCTTCATCCTCAAGAGGCTGGACGTGGAGCCGCGGGTGAGCCAGCTGCGCCTGGAGCTGGAGGGCGGCAGCGCGTCTGGGCTGGCCAGCCTGCTGGCCAGGCACTATTGTCTGCCCACCGCGCCGCGCGTGGTCGTCATGGTGCTGCAGCAGTTGCGCCGCGCCGACTTGCTACCCCTCTGGCAGAGCCGTGCGGCCCCGGACAGCGAGGGTGAGTGGGCGCGGGGACTCCCGGGCTGCGGGGATGGGGGCGGGGGATCCGGCGGTAGGCGTTGGGCGGAGAGCGGGGCGGCGGGACGGGAGCCAGGTCTGCTGGGGGGATGGGGGGGAGGGGGAGGGTGCGGGTATGGGCACCGCAGGCCCGACCCGCGCAGAGGGGGACGCCCAGGGGTGCTGCGGGAGGATGGAGCGGGTAGGGCCGGGCCGTCGGGGACCCGGCGCTCAGCATCCGGGCGTCTGCAGGTGGGACCTGCGCCCAGCCCGCGGTTCCCCACGCACGCAGTCCCGAGCGCGCAGCCCGTCGGCGAATGCCAGTTTGTTTCGGGGGGGGGGGGGTGAGCCTAGATTTCGGATTGACTCGGCAGGCCCGAGGCGGGGGGGGGGGGTGCATTTGTGTAGAGAAGCCCGGCCTGTGATTTTGGTGGGGGAGATTTTTAGAAGGGTGCGGCGGCGGCGGCGCGAAAACGGTTGGAATCCTCCGGGCCACCCTTAAGAAGTGTGTGTGATCGTGGGAAAGAGGCCGCCGGCTCTCCATCCATCGGACCGTTTGCTAGAAGTCGGAGGGGGGGGGGGCGGGGAGAGGTAGGCTTTATAATCAAAAAATGCAGTAACGGTGGAAGGGGAGCTTAGGGCGATTCTAGCTTCTGTAGCGGGCGGGATGCTTGTCTTGCACGCGGCTTGGCACCATGCCCACCTCCACCCCCTTCCCAAGTTCCACCAGGAGTAAGCCCTGAGCACTGCTGGGTGTCCACCCCTCACCCTCCGAAAACAGCAAAAACCCCAAATGGGTATATGTAGTGTGTATACACGCCTATAAAGAGGAAGTAGCCTACAAAGAGGAAGCAGCGCAGAGATGCAAGGCATTAGGTTTTGAGGTCCTGCACTACCGCTGCTGGTACTTGTTACCTCTCCCAGGGTCATAAGTTGTTTCTGTATCAAGTTTTTGTCATGCCATCGTTAAATAGGAGCCTGTCTCTTGCTGTTGACAAAACATTGTCTATTTCCCCCAGAATAACCAAAATTTCACGGTTTTGTGACTACACTGCAGGTGTCCATTAAGTCACTGTCACTGTCACTGTCCTCCTGTTGTTCATCGATTTGCTCGAGTGGGCCCAGTAACATTGTGAGACTTGTTGTTAACTGTGTTTGGCATATTGAATATGTCACAGGTAGCTCTCCAAGAGGGACAGAGGAATCGAAAATCGAACCTGCTAGACTGGGCCTGCCACATGCAAATGCCCTACCACTGTGCTATTGCTCCAGCCATTAAGTAATCAAATATTAAGAAGTCAGAGAAAAAAGTAAAAGCTGGTCTCTTTTATCTCCTTCCCTTTGTCCCTTGGTCCCTTCAGGGAGCAAGTGTGTTCTCATGGCAATTATTCCTTGGCCTTCCTCCCCCTCGCCCTCCCCCATCTCCAACCTGGGATCTTTCCGCCCCTGTTCCTGATGGTCATCTAAGGGATTTCTGTTTTAGGTTTCCAGTCTCAGGTTTTCCCCCCATAAGGAATCTTATTTTGTCTTTTGGGTCACACCAGGGTGGTATCCAGGACTACAGACTGGTGCTGAGGGATTCTTCTGGTGATGTTGGAAGACCATGCAGTGCCTAGGATCAAACTCATCCCCCCAGCCTGTTGGTGCATATCTCTGCTGTGCAGAAACCAATTCTAAAATGGGACGGAAGGGAGTGGGAGGGAGAGTGCAGAGGTCAAGTTGCTTGTCTTGTATGCAGCCAATCCTGGTTCCATGCCTGGCACCATTAGGCATGAATACTACTGAGCACAGAGGCATGAGTAGTCCCTGAGTACTGCCAAGTGGTCCCCACAAACCCAAAATAAATAAAATGAGGCAAAAAACTTTCCAGATCCATAACCATAAAAGATTACAGAATTCCTTGGTAGAAGTTTCTAGGTCACAGGAATAACAGCAGATCTTGATTTTAAAAAGTGGGGAAAATAATGCTCTCTCTTTTATTCTTTTTTTCATGAAAATTCAGTGATTCCAAGAAAGAGTCTGAAGAGAAGCTATGATTGTGTGGACGGTGACTTGGTAAATATCTCACTTTGTTTTCCTTTTCTTTTGTATATTGAGTAAGTGTTGAATAAGATTTAATGAAAAATTTTTTTCCAGTAGAGGACTTGTTCAAAGCAAAGAAGCATTTTAAAAATTCTGATTATCTCCATAAGCAGCCCCATCTGAATGGGATGTCTCTGTGTGTACTTTTTCCCCCCTCCCTTCCTCCCTCCCTTCCCCCTTCCTTCCTTTTTCCCATCTCAAGCCAAAAACGCTCCTGCACGCTCCCGCTCCAGCTGCTTTCTTTCCAAAACTAAGTAAGCAGAATGCTGAGTCTCTGTTTTTAAGTTGCAGTGCCCATTCTTGAAGGGTCCACTGTCCTCCAGTTTTGGTACTTCTCCTGCAGCACATCGCTCTGAAGTTTCTCTGAGAGGGGACTAGTAACTTCTGTCCATTCCTCTTGGGTGAAGCTAAAGACCCCACGTAGGAGAAGTCATTGAGTCATGAGGACAACTGGTCAAAGTGAGGGTCCCCGTGGGTTTTAGCCTTAGTCAAAGGAAGGTAGAAAGGTCCATTATGAAGACACTGACATTTGGGATATCTAGGTCGGAGAGAACCACAGGGTGCCTGAGCAACTTGGCTTGCAGAGCAGAAATTCTTTCTTCTGGAGGAACTTCACAAAGGTTACTTTGGAGGCTTTTGACTATAGGAGCAGAGGGACAGAGGTAGCGCTCAGCCCCACCTCTGTGCATCCTTCCTGGACTATGCCAGGATCACAGATGGGGTCAGGCCTCTTAAGAGTGCTTGTATAGTTGGCAGGGCACATGGCCAATCTGGCTTCAATCCCTTGTACCCTATGTGGTCCCCCGAGCAGCATCAGGCGTGATCCTTGAGCTCATAGCTAGCAGTAAACCCTGAGCACTGCCTGCTGTGACCCCAAAATCAAAATAAATAAAAACTAGGCCCTTGGGGCTGAGGGCTGGAGAGATGGTGCAGAGGATAAGGCACTTGTCTTGCATGTGGCTAATCCCAGTTTGATCCTGGGTACAGCATATGTTTCCCCTGGGTACCACCAAGTGAGGAGATAGGAAAACTGAGCACTGCATGGAGTGCCTGCCCCCCTGCCCCCAATATGTAAATAAATATATAAAGAGGCACTTTGGAAACATTGAGACAAATCCTCTGAATCCCCCTTCTAGCCCCTGTCCTTCCCTTCCCATGTTCCTTCTGAATTGCTAAAATAGAAATAGCTTCACCCAGCCCCAACAGGACACATGGGTAAGTGGACGGTGTTTAGGCATTACCCGGACAGTTTTGTGCTGCTCCTGTTAGGGAATGTCTATGTGGTCATCTCAGGTGGTCAGATTTCGATGTTTCATTTATTTATTTTTTTTCAGTTCTGGGTCCACACCTGGCAGTTTTCAGGACTTAGTCCTGGCTCTGTGCTCAGGGATTACTCCCGGTAGGCTCGGGGAATCATAGAGGGTGCTGGGACTTGAACAAGCGCCTCACACACTCCCGCATGCTCCTGTTCCAGATTTCGATACCATCTTTTCCACTAGTAAAAGCTAAAATTGGGCAGTCATAACTACTTTGCATGCTGGTAGGCTGTTACATCTCTTCCTTATAAATCAAGGAAAATGAGGCCCTGGAGATGCAAAGACTAGTGGGATGGCCTTGAGCAACTCTTAAGAATTGCCAGTTGCAAGGTTTAAGGAGAAAAAAAGTTGTTTTGTTTTTATTTTTTCTTAGTAGGATGGAACCCAAGGCCTTACCTGTGTAAAGCATAGCCTTCTGCTGAGATCCATCTCATTCTCCTGCAGGATTTTGTTTTGTTTCCTTAGTTTTCCTTAGTTCTTTTTCTTTTTGCAGGAGGGGAGAGGGCAGAGGGTTGTTGTTTTTTGGGTCACAGCCAACTATGGTCAGGGATCATTCCTGGTGGGCCTGGGGGACCACATGGGGTGCCAGTGATCAAATCCATATTGTGCAAAGCAAAAAGCAAGTACCTACTAGCTAGACTATTATGCTGGCCCAACTTTCTTTTTTGCAGGAGCCCAACTTTCTTTTTTGCAGGAGCCCAACTTCCTGCAGTGCTCAGGGGCTGCTCCTGGATTTGTGTTCATGGGTCATTGCCAGGGAAGCTCTGGGGAACATGTGAAATCAGGGCTAGAACCCAAGCATCTTGCAGACAGAGCATGCATTCACCTACTGAGCTGGCTCTTAAACCTTACATAATTTAAAAAAAAATTTAGTATTTGGAGTTAGGGGCTCAGGCCACACCTAGCAGTTCTTTGGATGCTATGTGGTGCAAGGGTTCAAATGTGGAGTAGTTTGGCCCACGCAAAACAAGTACCTTAACACTTGTACTGTCTTTCCAGCCCATGCAAGACTTTTTTTGTTTTTGGTTTGTATTTTGTTTTGGGGCCATGCCCCCCAGTGGCAGTGCTTGGGGGGACCATCTGTGATGCCAGGGATTGAATGAGGGAAGGCCTTATGCAAGACAAGAGCCTTATCCCCTGTATTATCTCTCCTGTCCCCACTCCTTTTTATTTATTTATTTTTAAAAAAATTTTATTGAATCACAGTGAGATACAGTTACAAAGCTTTCATGTTTGAGAGTCAGCCATACAGTGATCGAACACCCATCCTCCACCAGTGTGCATTTTCCATCACCAATGTCCCCAGGGCTAGAACCCAAGCATCTTGCAGACAAAGCATGCATTCACCTACTGAGTTTTTATACCACCTATAATTATGTAAGGCTTAAGAGCAAGGATTCCCCCTGACCCCCACATCCCAGTCTTCACCCTGCCTCTATGGCAGTTAGTTTCCCCAATACTGGCTCTACTTTTGCGCATTCTGTTTTGCCCGAATTTTTCCACCACCATTCAAGCCTGCCTGCCAGGGGCAGATGCTAGATAATTTATTTTGCATTGCTCATTTTGAATATCATGAGAACTTGGAATCCTACATTGTAAATGGTTGGGTCCAGAGCCATCACTGTAGGGTACTAATCCATTTGGGGAATCAATTGGGAGTCTCTGGACCAGGGCTGTTGGTGCGCTGATATGTTGCCAGGTAGAAGCTTGTCGGCATGACCAGGCCAATGAGCGGGCAGGGAGCTGGGGAGGGACAGCTCGTCTCCCCCTGGCCCCTCTGCTGCCATCAGTTTGGAGATTTAATCCTGGAACCCACATATCTGGGCCTTGCTTATGGAAGCTCTTGATCACCAGGATTCCATCTGGAGTAGGCGGGGAGACTGCACCTGTTCCATCTGGGGTGCCCTGGTGAAATTGGCTGGGTATGGTGCCCCCCTCCTTTTTAAAGTGTTTTATTATGGATTTTAAAGCAGAGGATAAAGCAGAATAGGATCTGAATCTCCCAAACTCTAGCCCGGCGTGCGTACATGCTGCCTCATCAGTCGTAATGTAGGGCCAGACTTAGCTCCTCCTTCCCAGTCATTCTAAAGCAAATCCAGATACATCACTTTTGCCTATATATTCTTTATAGCCTCTACCGATGAGAAAGGCTTTTGTCTTTTGGGGGAGTCTCCCAAGTGGTGCTCAGGCGCCCTGAGGCCACTCCCAGATAGTGGTTCAGTGCTGGGGCTCGAGTCCTTGATGCTGCTGCAGACCTGCAATGCTGAGGGCCAGCAGAGCAAAGTGCCTAGGACCCACACCCCGCTAGGTTCTGTGCATCGAACCCAGGTCAGGCACAGGCTCAAAGCCATCAATACTGTACTGCCTCCCAGCACCCTGAGGAAAAGTTTTCCAAAAAGCCAGGCTGCGATTTTCCTTAAAAACAATTCTGTAGCTTGGCAGAGATATGACTAGTACTGAGATTTCCTGAACTGGTTCCGATTTCTTTCCAGGTGGTTTGCTTAATTAAATCAGGATTCTGACGTGGTATTTCTCTCATCGTAAAACTTGGATGTTAGTTTGTCAAATTATTTTATATAATATTTTTCTGTTTTTATATTGCAGTGGCTTTCTTTTTTCTTTTCTTTTCTTTTTTTTCAATTCAGGCTGGAAACAGGGGTGGGGTTTGAGGCCGAACCTGGCAGTGATCAGGGCTTATTTGTAGCTCTGTAGTCAGGGATCACTTCTGGCCATTGCATGCAAAGCAAGCACCTTATTTCCTGTGTTATCTCTCTGCCCCCAGATAGGGTTTGTTGTATGAGCTTAAAATGGTCAGGTGATTTGACTGCCATAGTGCAGCGGGTAGGATGTTTGCCTTGCACGTGGCTGACCCGGGGGTTCGATCTCTTCATCCCAAATATGGTCCCTGAGCACCACTCACCAGGAATAGTTTCTGAGTGCAGAGCCAGGTGAGCATGAGTGGGTTTGGCCCCAAACAAACAAACTAAATAGCCAGGACAGCTCACTCTTCGAGCCTGTATTCTCCCTTGAGCATGCATCTCGCTTGCTGGTTTGTATGTTGCTTCACTTGCCTTATTTCCACTCTGGAAGTGCATTCTCTCTCGATCACATTTCCCTTCTTTTTCTCCTCTCACATCTTTCTAAACAAGTTTCATCTGATAAAAACTGTCGTACTTCACTACAAAAAAAACCTTAAAATGACCAGGACATTTTCTTTTTGCTTAGTGTGTCTTATTTTACTTATCTTGAATATTGATCTTGTCCCGTGTTTCTCAACCTTTCACTGACTGTGGCCCCTTTTGATCTTGTTTCCTTCCAGTCACCACTCTGTCCTATCGATTAGCCCCAAGTCTTAGGCTGTACCTACGCCTGCCCTCACATTTATGAACTTTTCACCTGTGACTTCCTGAGAGTATGCTGGAGACCCTCAGGAGGCTGTACTGCCCCTGTTGAAGAAAGGCTCATCTATCTTATGGCTTTTACTTATGAATTTAGCACAGATAATCGGAAAATGCCTACAGTGGCATTTCTTCTTGTCAAGTGTGTTGGTCACTTATAAGGATCAGTCCTATATCATTATATGGTTATATTGACTATATGCGTAGTTATCTATCATGAGCTAAAGAAGTAATTCAAAACATTTCCTGGCCCATTTCTTTCTTCCCAGCAACATTTATTAATATAAAAAAAAACCTAGGTTTTAGTTCTGTCAAATTATTTCATATTTTTTTTTACATTTAATTTTTATATGGTTTCTTTTGCTCTTTTTTTTTACATAAATAATAATGTTTTCCTAGACTTTTTGGGTCACATCTGGTGATACTCAGGGTTACTCCTGGCTCTGCATTCAGGAATTACTCTGGCAGTGCACGGGTGGACCATATGGGATGCTGGGGATCGAACCCAGGTCTGCCACGTATAAGGCAAATGCCCTACTCTCTGTTCTATCACTCTGACTCCAATAATTACTTTTTGTTTTGGAGCCACACCTGGTGGTGCTCAGGGCTTACTCCTGGTTCTGTATTCAGGGATCATTCCTGGGAAGCTCAGGGGGCCACATGGGGTGCCAGGGATAGAACTTGGGTTGGCCACGTTGTAAGACGAGTGCCCTAACTGCTGTACTATTGCTCTGCCCTATAAATTATTTCTAATTTTGAAAAATGACTTGGAGGGGGCTGGAGAGATAGTACAGTAGGTGGGGCACTTGCCTTACATACATTTGACCCGGGTTCAAGCCAACAAAACAAAACGACCTGGATCTAAGGGTCTGGGGAGATAGCTCAAAGGGCTACAATACTGCCATAGTTCCAGTTGATCCCCACTACAACTTGGTCTCCTGAGAACTGGGAGCACCCTGCAGCACAGCTAGGGTGGCACTGTAACAGAGCAAAAAGTACAGTTAAGTAAAAGTGAAATTAAACTTCTGTTGCACATGGCCGACCTGGGCTTGATCCTCATATGATCCTTGAGCACTGACTGAGCCAGGAGTAAAGAGTAAGCCCTGAGCACTTGCTGGTATGGCCCCCAAACCAGAAAAAGGGCGGGGGGAAGGGCAGCAAAAAGGAAAAAAAGAAAAGAAATTAGGTATAGGTGGGCCAGGGGGATATCTCAAAGGATTGAGTTCATGCTTGAGCCCTGGCATGGCGGGGGCTTGGCACCCTGCCATGGAAGCAGCCTCTGTTGCCCTTCACCACTGTGCTCTGCAGTATTTCCCCAAGCTGGTAGTTAGAGCTCTATTTAGTAATTTAAAAGAGAGATTGAATGGTCAGAGCGATAATATCACTTGCCTTGCATGCGGCTGACCCCGATTTAATCCTCAGCATCCCGTATGGTCCTCAGAGCCCTGCCAAGATTGACACCTGACACAGAGTCAAGAATAAGCTCTAAGCATCGCTGGGTGTAGCTCCCAAACCAAAAACATAAAATTAAAATGAGGTTGACTTGTCAATACTAGACTGGGATATTTGAGAGAATCGTCATGAATCCTTGTGCTCCAGCCCTGATGACTGAGGCAGTTATTTTGTGCCTTTTCGGAACTGAGACACCCTGCACCCCCCCTCACCATTTATCTCAGGAGAAACTCAGCACTTGAGAGCCAGAGAGATGGCTCACTGGGCGGAGCTCGAGCTTTGCGTGGAGGAGGCCCGGGTTTGATCCCTGGCACCACATGGTCCTCAAATACTGCCAGGAGAGAGTACTGAGCATGGGCGGGGATGCAGAACAATAACAAAACCAAGTAGCATTCCTGTACATAATTACACACACACACACACACACACACACACACACACACACACATCTCATATCTGACTTCCCATGTTGGGTTTGGGTCAGTCGTGTCTTGGTTTTTCCTGCCTACAGGACAGTTATGATCTGAGCGGCAAGCGGAAGGCCTTCCTCATGTGTGTGAAGAAGCACAGGCCGGGGGCGAACCAGGACATCGAGCTCATGAAGGAGTGGCTTGGCCATTGCCGTTTCGAACACACCTCCTGCATCGATCCCGACAAAATGGTAATGTCCGAGTGACCTGCTTAGTGCAGCCGCTTCTATTCTCTCCTCCTTTGTGGGGTGATGTCCCAGCTCCCCTTCCTGTCTGGCAGGGATCACCTGGGGCTCCAATCCTGACTAGAGGACAGGAGCAGTGGACTAGAGAAAGAGAGTCCAGGAATGTGTCCCAGCAAGGCGGGCAAGGAGGCCCAAGGATGAGCTGTGGTGGTGAGTCCAGAATGAGCAAGTTCTGGAGCCCTTAGGAATAGGGTAGGCCATGGAAATAGCTTTGAGAGGTCAGCGTGTGCCATGCCAGACACATCCCAGTAGCCCTAGTGCCTAGGATTTGGAAAAAAAATTTTTTTTCCTTTTTGGGTTACACCTGGCGATGCACAGGGATTACTCCTGGCTCTGCACTCAGGGGTTACTCCTGGTGATGCTCACGGGAATGGTCAGAGCGATAATATCACTTGCCTTGCATGCGGCTGACCCCGATTTAATCCTCAGCATCCCGTATGGTCCTGGGATGCTGGGAATCGAACCCGGGTCCTGGTTCGGCCATGTGCAAGGCAATCGCCCTATCTGCTGTGCTATCACTCCAACCCTGGAAAAAATCTTTAAATTTTTTTTTTTAATTGAATCACTGTGAGACACACAGTTACAAAGTTCTTCATGGTTAGGTTTTAGTCATACATTGTTCCAACACCCATCCCTCCACCAGTGAACATTTCCCACAAGCAGTTTCCCCAGTTTCCCTCCCGCTACTCCACATCCCACCCCATCCCCACCCCTCGAAAAGTCTTTAAGGGACTTAACATGGAGACTTGTTAAAGTCTATATAGTGGTAGAAGCCTGCATGCCCAGGGCAGAAGTGTTAGGATTTAAGTATGACACAGAAAAGCAAAGTGTAAGGTTGGCGGTAGAAGGGGCGGATTATATTTGGTGTATGTGGGGTATATTGGTACTCAGCAGTGCTCAGGGATTATTCCTGGCTCTGTCTGATCCAGTGATCACTCCTGGCAGTATGAAGGGAGGAGCGTGTGTGTAGGGGGAATGGACATATGCAGTGACCGGGGATTGAACCAGGGTTGGCCTTAACTTTGTACTCTCTCTCCATCCCCTACCACAAAGATTTGTTGGGGGGCTGTGTTTTTCGGGCTCAACCAAGGGATAGGTTTGCTCTCTGCAGATAGAAGTAGTCTGGGTCCAGGGCTCCTTATGTTGCAGAAAAGATTTCCAGAAAAGACAATGGAGGAAAGTCGTTTTCTCTTTTGAGGAAGGGGACTTGGAAGAGTGTGGGATTTTCTAGAAAAAAAAAAATCCTTCCCAAGGGAAGGAACTTGACATCATAAAGATGGGGCAAGCGAGGCCAGAATGGAGCGCCCCCTCAAGCAGAGAGAGGAAGTTGTGATCCCAGAAAACAGGGTTGCTTTGCAGAGCTTGATTTTACAGGATTTTCCTTAACTGCTTCACTTCAGGCTGAGTTGTCAGGGAGAAGGACTTGTTTTTATTGTTGTTTTTGTTTGGGACCATACCTGGCAGTGTTTCGGGTCTACTACCAGTTCTGTGTTTCCGTGGTCACTGTTGGTGGCCCTTACGGGACCATGTGGTGCTAGTGTGCCAATTGCTTATATCTCTGCCCCTTATCTCTGGTCCAAGAAGGACTTTTGACCTTGGCAGTTTCTTTGTTCTCAGTCTTATCAGGGCTCCACTCCTGTCTGTCAGTTATCATCCAACTGTTTTTTTTTCCAACGGTTTTCCTTAGTCGCATCTGTGTGCTTCTATTCAGAATGTATCTGCTTCTTCAGACATGTCTTGGTTCATATGATGGCTTTTCCTCTATCCAGATGGCTGGCTGACTGTCATTGCCCAGGGCCCACTGCCTGACTGCCCAGCTCAATTTTCAGTCCATGGAAGAAGTTTTATTCTTCCTAGGATCTGGAAGTGTCTTCTTGGGGTTTTTCTCTACCTCAGTTAATATTTATTTGTAAATTGTTAGTAATATTACTGGCAAAAGTATATCACTTTTCCTGATTATTACTTTGGCTGAACATGTTTTATTTCTCCCAGTATATTTTTTGCTTTTGGACCACACCTGGTTATGCTCAGGGCTTACTCTTGACTCTGTGCTCAGGAATCACTCCTGGCAGTGCTTGGTGAATTGTTTGCAGTGCTGGGAATCAATCCAGGGTCGGTCACTTGTAAGGCAAGTGCCTTAACACCTCTGCTAACTCTTTTTTTGGAAAATTTTTTTATTACTGAAAGACCATGAGGTATAGTTGTAGACTTACACACTTTCGTGCTTGGGTTTCAGTTATACAGTGATTGAGTACCCATCCCTTCACCAGTGCCCATTCTCCACCACCAATGAACCCAGTAGGCCTCCCACCCCTCCTTCCCTGTGCTAACTCTTCAGTCCTGATTGAACATGTTTTGTCCATTTTTTTTCCTTCTGTAACTTACCTTTGTATTCTTTGCTCACACTCCCATCTACACAACCACACGCTTTTCCTCGGGAGCTGGGGGTCGAACCCAGGTCCCTACATGCTTGTCCTCAACTTTGGAGCCACAACCCAGCCTCCGTTTGCCCTTTTATTCATTGGACTTCTTTATCTAATTTTATAGTTCCTTTTTCCTGAACATTATTTACTTTACAAAATATAGGATCACAGACTGGGGATGTCAGATTCCTTTTTCCTGGCCCCGTGTTTGTCCTATGCCCACTTCAGCCTCTGAGTCATCTTCCCTGCTTCCCTTTTGACTTTTGGGAGCCTTTCATACAGAAACCTTCATTTTTAAAATTTTTTTTTATTTTTTTGGGTCATACCCGGCGATGCTCGGGGATTACGCCTGGCTCTGCACTCCGGAATTATTCCTGGCGGTGCTCGGCGAACCATATGGGATGCTGGGGATTGAACCCAGGTCGGCTGCGTGTGAAACAAACTCCCTACCCACTGTACTATTGCTCTGGCCCCAGAAGCCTACATTCTTGTGCGTAAACTTGTCTTTATACTTTCAGTTTCTTGTTTTTTTGTGTCTTTATCATACCATAGGCATGGCAACCTAGGTCTGCCTCACTTAATTTTTGTTCTTGTTGCTGGGTCATACCCTCCGTGCTCAGTGCTTCCTCCTGGGTCTGTGCCCGGGGACTGCTCCTGATGGGGCTCTGGGGACCGTATATGATACTGGGGACTGAACCTGGGTCAACTGCATGCAAAGAAAGTACCCTACTTGCTCTACTCTCTCCAGCCCCCACTTAATTACATTAATATATTTGTTTAGGATTTTGTGGCCAGGGGCTCCTCCTGGCTCTGTGCTCAGGGATCCACTTAAATATTCAAACATTTAAAAATAGCTTTTCTGTAATATTTTCAGTTTAAGGTTAGTCTTATGCTCGCTGGAATTTTAATTTTGGGATAGTGTGAAATAGAAATTATCTTTGTTTCCTGGTGAACTCTTGGCTGTCTTGACATTTATTGAATGATGTTTCCTTCACCCAAATATTTGAAATTCCTGTTTTATCATGAATTAACTTTGGGTGCATAGTTGGACCAGTTCCCCACCACCCCAATGAATACTTGGATCAACTTCTGGATTTTCATTTATTTAGTTTTTCTGTTTTAGTGCTATACTCAGTGGTGCTTAAGGGTCTCTCCTGGTGGATTGATTGGGGTCACTTCCTGTAGTGCTTGGGAGGATTGTGCAATGCTGGGGATCAAACCAGGGTCTCCCTTGTGCTAAGTGTGTGCTTCAGTGCTTTGAACTATCTCCCTGGCCCCAACTCCTGGAGTTTTAAATATTCTATTTGTATGTATTTATGCTCATCCCACTGTTCCATTTTATTCACTGTGATTTTTTGTGGTACATTTTAATGTCTGTAGGACCTTTTGCCCTTCATTTTTGGTTTTCTTTTCTTTTGACTGCTCTTGGCTATTTTTTAAAAATTTTTGTTTATTTATCTATCGCTCTAGCCCCATTGGCTATTTATTATTTTGGGGGGCATACCAGTGAGTGCCCAGAGCTTTATACTCAGCAATCACTCCTGGTGGAGGTTGGGGGGCCATATGGGGTGGCGGGAGTTGAAACCGGGTCGACTGTGTGCCAGGCAAATATCTTACCTGGTATACTGTCTGGCCCCCTGTTCTTGGCTCTTTCTTGAGCATTATCTATTCTCAGATCTCTATGATGTGTTGAAATTTCTTTGGGATTTTATTGGTATGGGTACTGATTTATAAATTAATCCCGTATCTAATCAGTTTACTGTTCTTTCTAATTTCTGTGGATTATTTTATGGTTCTAGTTTTGGGGGATCCCTCGACCAGCAGTGCTCATGAACTGATTCTGTGCTCATTATGTGGTGCTGGGAATAGAATTAGCATCAGCAACATGTAAGGCAAATGCCTTAACTCCTGTCCTATCTCTCTAACTCAATTCTAGACTTACATAAATGCTTTATGTCTCTTTGAGTATGAAGCTTAATTTTGATTTTATTGAAATGTCTGGATCAGGGGCTGGAGTGATAGCACAGCAGGTAGGGCATTTACCTTGTACGCGGCAGACCTGGATTTGATCCCAGCATCCCATATGGTCCCCTGAGCACCGCCAGGAGTAATTCCTGAGTGCAGAGCCAGGAGTAACCCCTGTGTATCGCCGGGTGTGACCCAAAAAGAAAAAAAGGAAAACAAAAAAAAAATAGCTGGATCATAACAAAGGTTATAGTATGTCTGGTAGCAGTAATTGTAGTATACTTATATTTCTCATTTTCTCTCCTTTAAAAAAATTTTTTTTTCATATTTGGTGGTGCTCAGGGCTTATTCCTGTTTCTGTACTCAATTATCACTCCTGGCAGGACTTAGGGGGAATTTATATGGTGCTGGGGTTCAAACCCGGGTTGGCTGTGTACAAGGCTTTACCCGCTGAGCTATCTGTCCAGCCCTCCTATCTTTTCAGTCAGCTGCCTTCTGGTGGCTATTCTTTTTTTTTTCCTCTTTGGGTCACACCCGGCGATGCACAGGGGTTACTCCTGGCTCTGCACTCAGGAGTTACTCCTGACGATGCTCAGGGGACCATATGGGATGCTGGGAATTGAACCCGGGTCGGCCATGTGCAAGGCAAACGCCCTACCCGCTGTGCTAATCTCTCTAGCCCCCGGTGGCTGTTCTTGATTCAGGCAGGTAGATATTATTGGACAGATTCCTTCATTGCCTTTCATTTCTAGATTATAGGGGGTATTAATTGTAGAAAATAACTTGTTTAGTACTTGTAAGTTACAATACAATTTAGGTAAATGCACCCTTTGGGGAGGTATCATTCTATTGTATTTTATGTTGGAGAATCATAAATGCCCTAATTTTGTTAGTCAGGAGCCAGTGACACAAAGAGAAATACAATGCTGAGAGCAACCAAAAATGTAGCAACAAGTTAAAGAATTAGTGCTAACATCATGCTAGCTCTGCTGGAAACGTAGGTAATTCATTATTTATCTCCCGAGCTTACCCAGTAACAAGACCATCTCTAGCACATCAGATTTACCCACCTTCTGTGCTCTGACATTTCATTCTGCTTTACAGGAGTTACTTGAACAAATAACATTATTTCGGGATGAGCTCAATGAAATTAGAGACAAAATTGGCTGCTGCATTGTCACTCTCATGTCCCACGGCGAGCAAGGCTTTATTAAAATGAAAGATGGTGAGAAAGTCAGCCTGGAAATCATTTTTGAAATGTTCAACAATAAGAACTGCCCTGCTCTTCAGGAGAAGCCAAAGATCTTTATAATTCAGGCCTGCAGGGGAGGTATGTGGGGGACTTCTCTGCAATAAGTGTATTTCTAGGAAAAATCTCACGTTGATGATGGAGAAAAGGGGGAAATAAGTAAGCACGTGTGTGATTAATTTACTTCATTGCTTAGTTTAAGGGCCACACCCTGGCAGTTTTCAGTGCTTACTCCTGGCTCAGTGCTTGGGAATCATGTGCTTGGCAGGCAGCTTGATCCCTACACTATCTCTTTAGCTCTGTATGTATTTATTTGAAGTAGTTGAGGCCCCTAAGCAAATGTAAGGAACACTGGCCCTATAGGACTCTTGGGATTTGGAACGGAGAAGAAAGGGTAGCAGAACAATTATGCCTGGGAGGGGCTGGAGCAATATCACAGCAAGTAGGGCGTTTGCCTTGCACTCAACCAGCCCAGGTTTGATTTCCAGCATCCCATATGGTCCCCCGAGCACCGCCAGGAGTAACTCCTGAGTGCAGAGCCAGTAGTAACCCCTGAGCATTGCTGCGTGTGACCCAAAAAGCAAACTATATATATATACCTGGGAGAGAAGTGTGACCTGAGACTGAGGGTGATGCTGGGAAACCAGACTCTTGAGAGCTGGGTGGCCGGTTCCCAGGCCAGGTCAGCTGTCTGCGTGTCTTAGAGCACCGTGGGACTGCCCTGGGGCTGAAACAGCTTTAGTAACGTCTTCCTCTGGAGGTACAAGCCTGGCAGGGCTCTGAGTAAGGGTTACTCGTGTCAAAATAACGGATGGGAGTTTGTCTTTTATTTTTTTTTTTCCTTGAAACACAGAGAAGAGAGACTGTGGTGTTGAGACGGATGATGAGCCCATGGATTCTGATGACATCTGTGAGAAGCGGCGGCTGCCCACGTTCAGTGATTATTTCATCATCTACCCCACCCAGCCAAGTGAGCCATGAGGAGAACCTGAGAGAGAGACCCACGTTTTGAGGGCTTAGGAGCTTCCCACTGGCTTTAATTTACTTGTTTATTTTTATTTGGGGGGATATCGGGACACACTTGGCAGTGCTCAGGGATCACTCTCAGCAGTGCTTGCATGACCGTTTGATGCTGGGACCAAACTGTGACTGGTTACATGCAAGCCCTCAAGCCCTTAAAGGCATGTGCCTGACCCACCATATTATCTCTCCAGTCCTGGATTGTTTGTTTTCTAATGAAAGTTTTCTAAACCTCAGTTGTTGGAGTCTGGGCTGGTGAGATGGCTCAATAGCACTGAGCACATGTTTTGCATGTAGGAGGCCCAGGTTTGATCCCTGGTTCCACATGGTTCCCCAAGCATTACAGACAGCAACCCTCCCCCCTCAAGACTCCTTCTGTGTGTTACATTTTCTCTTAAATTTGCTTTCTTGTTTATTGTCTTTTTTTTTTAATTTATTTTTAAGAAGTTTTACTGGATCACTGTGAGATCCAGTTACAAACTTGCATGATTACATTTCAGTCAAACAATGCTCGAGCCCCCATCCCTCCACCAATACACATTTTCCACCACCATTGTTCCCAGTGGTCCACCCACCACCCCGACCCTACCTACTCCCTGCCTCTGTGGCAAGTACAGTCTTTCTTACTCTCTAATTTTGGGTATTATGATTTGCAATACAGATACTAAAATGTCATCTTGTTTGGTCCTTGGTCTACTTTCAGCACACATCTCCTATCCTGGGCGATCTTTCCAATTATCATTTACTTAGTGGTCCCTTCTCCATCCCAATTGTCTTTTCCCCTAGCACGTGGGGACGGCTTCCAAACCATGGTGTGACCCTCCTGGCCCTTATAAGTCTCTACTGTTCTTAGGTGTTAGTCTCATAGTATGCTACTTTATATTCCACAGATGGGTGGAGTCATTCTATGTCTGTCCTCTTTCTGACTAATTTCACTTAGTATGATACTCTCCATCTTGTTTATTGTCTCGATTCTGCCAAAACATTTTAGTTTTGGTAAAGTCAGCGGGTAGGGCGTCTGCCTTGCACGCAGCCAACATGGCCGACCCAAGTTCGATTCCTCCGCCCCTCTCGGAGAGCCCGGCAAGGTACCGAGAGTATTCGATATGCCAGACACAGTAACAACAAAGTCTCCAATGGAGACGTTACTGGGCCCGCTCGAGCAAATCGATGATCAACGGGAGGGCCTTTACCTTTACCTTTTTACTTTGTTTTTGGGTGATGCCCAGCTGTGCTCAGGGTTTACTCCTGGCTCTGAGCTTAGGGATCACTCTTGGTGGACTTGGGGGACTGAACCCACCATACTGGGTGCTAGGGACTGAATCCAGGTCTACTTGCATGTAAAGAAAGCACTTCACCCACTGTACCACCTCTCTGACCACTTCTTATTTCATTCATGTTATATGCAACCTCAAGACTGCAAAATATTCCCAGGCTATTTTCCTTTCCAACTCAGATTTACTCTGTAGGATGCGATTTTGATATTCCCACTGAATTTCTACATTGAATAGACATGTACCACGTTATTTGATTTAACTAATACAAATAATTTCAGTAACTAACCTTTCGAGTACTCTGAAAGTTCCATACAAATATATTTTAGAGCATTTGGCTTCGAATTCTGAAAAGCAGATATATAAAAAATGGAAAAGAGATAAATGGAGCAAATTTAACAAACATTTGATAACTATTGCATATAGGGAATGGTTAAATGAGCCTTTGTTTTATATATATATATATATATATATATTTATTTATTGCTTTTTAGGTCACACCTGGCGATGCACAGGGGTTATTCCTGACTCTACACTCAGGAATTACTCCTGGCAGTGCACGGGGGACCATATGGGATTCTGGGAATTGAACCTGGGTTGGCCACATGCAAGGCAAACACCCTACCCGCTGTGCTATCACTCCAGCCCCACTCTATTTTTGTCTGTATTTGAATATATCTGCTGCTGAAGTGAGCAAATTTTTTAAATTTTGTTATATTTTGAAACGTTTATTTTTCCCCCTTTCCTTTCCATACACACACACACACACACACACACACACACACACACACATATATATACACATATTTTTTTGAGGGGTGTTGGGCCACATCTAGCTATGGTTTAGGGGCTGTTCCTGGCTCTGTGCTCAGGGATCACTCTAGGTGGTGCTGGGGATCGAAGCTGAGTCAGCCACATGCAAGGTGAGCACCTTAACCCCAGCATGTCTCTCTGACCCTCCATTCATTATTGTGAGGGTGAAGTCACACCCTTGGTTGGGGTTGGGTTTTTGCGCACTTGGTTCCATGTGCACTGGACGTGGACACCTGATGGTGCTGCTCACCCACTTAACGGTGGGGCTCACTGGGGTCACACATGGTGCTGTGGAGGCACTGGGCCACGAAAACTGGGACCTGGCCTAGAGGTTTAAGCGTCTGTTTCTCAAATATGAGGCTGTGAGTTTGATGGCGAGTGCTGCCTCCAGGGCCCAACACCATCCTGGCAACTCTGCTGTTGGAGAGCCCCTGCACCTTGGCACCACCATCTACTTTTGGTCACACTGTGGCTAGGTGTGTGTCAGCACTGCAACCAAAGGTGTGATCTCGGGGCTGGAGCAATAGCATAGCGGGTAGGGTGTTTGCCTTGCATGCGGCTAACCCGGGTTCAATTCCCAGCATTCTATATGATCCCCTGAGCATCGTCAGGAGTAATTCCTTCGTGCAAAGCCAGGAATAACTGCTGTGCATCGCCAGGTATGACCCAAAAAGCAAAAAATAGTGCTCACTTCGGCTGCACATATACTAAAATTGAAACGATACAGAGAAGATTAGCATGGCCCCTGCGCAGGGATGACATGCAAATTTGTGAAGCGTTCCATATTTTTCTAACTTTCTTATAAGCAACTCATTAAATCATGAATCCATAAAAAAAAAAAAAAGATGTGATCTCCCGGGAGCATGGCAGCGAGGCCAAGGTTCAGGCTCGGTCCAGCCCCAGCTAGCACCACAACTAGACTGTGAGTCCTGTACTGTGCTCGCTGCAGCCCTAGGAGGGAACGTGGTTCTTCTGGTCCCTTTGGTGTCTGTGAGGGCCCCAGCTGTACTCCTGCTTTTGTAATCTCTTTTCAAAGCCATTTTCCAGCAGCAGGAGTGATAGTACAGTGGGTAAGGTGCTTGCCTTGCATGTGGCCAACCTGGGTTCAATCCCCAGGCACCACATACAGTCCCCCAAGTCCCCTGAGCACAGAGCCAGGGGACAAAGACCCTGCACAAACCCCACTTAACCCCCTTGACCCTCCCTCCTCCCCCCCCCCCCACTAAAAACATTTCTGGGATTCCAAGTCATTTCTAGAACTACTTGTAGAAGAACAAGTTAGATCCAAATAGAGGAGGAAATGGATGGACTTAATTTTTCTCTTTGGCTCAGATGATGATGGTTGGAAGAATCGTTCAGAATGGGAGATGTGTGCTGAAAGTGGAAAAAGGATCAGACATGATAGTCTCTCAGTATCTGTATTGCAAACCATAATGCCCCAAAGTAGAGAGAGAATATGGAGGAAATTGTCTGTCATGGAGGCAGGGGGAGGGTTGGAAGGGGGTTGTTAACTGGGAACATTGGTGGAGAATGTGTGCTGGTAGAGGGATGGGTGTTTGATCATTGTATGACTGAAACTCAAACATGAAAGCTTTGTAACTGTATCTCACGGTGATAATTTTTTTTCCCTTTGTAGATCATGTAGCTCTCCGGCACTGCATTAAGGGCTCTGTGATGATTGAGGCCATGATTGAAGTCTTTAATGAGTACGGGAATCGGTGGCACATCGCGGACTTCTTCACCAAAGTAAGTCCATTCCAAGTGCGTGTGTGTGTTCCATTTCCTCAGTTTGATGCCCTCAGTGAAAAGGCCTCTAGGAGGAGATTCACTCTAGCGATGAGACATGAGTGATGGTGACAAGTTGCTTGAGAACCCTGGGCAGAGGACTGTGAGTCAGAGGACTGTGGCATTTAGGAGATACGACTGAGCAAGATACTGTGGAAAAGTGATATCTGTACTTGGTTAAGTACTTATAGGAGTGAGTTGGATATGGCAGTTTCTACTGTATCCTCACGGAATATATTCTAAGACCACTCCCCAGTGCATGCCTGAAATTGTGGCTCCCACTGGTGCTGTATATATTATGGTGTTTTTTTCCCCTAACATACAAAACTAAGCAAAAGTTTTAATTTTTCAGTTAAGCACAGTGATAGGTTAACAAGAACTAATATTAGAATAATTACAACTACACTGTAATAACAGTTTGTTAAGGTGATCACAAATCATTATCACAAATCTCAAGATACCTTTTTTAAAAAATTATTTTTATAAAGTTGTTTGTGATTTATTATTAAGTATTCCAACACCAACTCCACCATGAGTGCACCTTCCCACTACTATTGATTCCAATTTCCCCAATCACCACTCAAGCCTGCCTCTGTAGCAGGCCCTCGATAGTTTATTTTATATTGCTTGTTATAATTCACTAAAAATGATCAAAAAATATTTCCTTAGAGTTATGTGTATGAATATTGTTGTATCTCAGCATGGGGCTACTAAGTCCTTGTAGAAGAGATTACTAACATGTTACCCGTTAGGCCTTGTGTGTTTATATTTTCTTAATCGAGATTGGTTGCCATCTAATTTACATCAGGATACCTTTCTGGGCCACACTCATGGTGCTTTGGGCCTACCCCCAGCAGCTCATTGCTCAGGATTTCTCGTGGTGATGCTTGGGGCACCGTCGGGTCCCAGGGATGGGGTGCCCAGGCCTCCTGCATGTAAATGTGCCCTTTAGACATTTGAACCATCTTGCTGGTCCCAACATGGACAATTTTAAGTCATTTCAACAATATTCCCAAATATTTTATATTGTTCAATTTTTTTTCTTTAAGAAATTGGTTTCTCAGGGCCGGAGTGGTAGTACAGCTGGTAGGACATTTGCCTTGCATTTGGCTGACCTGGGTTTGATTCCCCAACACATGTGGTCTCCCGAGCACTGCCAGGAGCAATTCCTGAGTGCAGAGCCAGGAGTAGCCCCTGAGCATTGCCAGGTGTGACCCAAAAAAGAAAAAAAGAAGAAGAAGAAATTGGCTTCTGGAGCCAGAGAGATAATACAGTGGGTATGGTGCTTACCTTGCAAGGGGTTGACTGGGTTTGATCCCTGGCATCACATAATGGGTCCCCTGAGACCCACCAGGTGTGACCTCTGAGCACAGAGTCAGAGGTAAGCCCTGACTCTGCCCATATCATTAGGTGTGCCCACCTCACTCTTTTCTTCCCACCCCTCCCCCCCACAAAAAAAAGGAAACTAGTTTCTAAGCCGAAGAGATAGTTTAAGGGTTGAGGTATTTGCCTTGCATGCAGCTGATCCCTGCTTGATCTCTGGCATTGCCTGTGGTCTGTTGAGTTACTCCTAAGCCAAGAACCAGGAATAGCCCCTGAACACTACTGGGTGTGTGCTGCCTTCTCTGCCACCTGCTTCTATCAAAGAAAGAAACTTGTTTCTTGGTTTCCTTTTCTTTTCTCCTCTCCCCCTCCGCCCCCCCCAGTGCTTGGGATTGATTCAGGTGCACACGCAAGGCAAGTGCCCCATCACCGTGAACCACATCCCTGGGGTCCCAAGCCCAGGTGTGACGTGCTCCTTACCATGCTGTCTGTATTTTCCCGTTGAGATTCTGCGGTCTTCTTCTGCAGGGCGTATTGAAAGTGTTCCTTCTGAGTTTTTGCATTCTCCTGCTTGCTTTTGTCTTACAGGTGAATAGCAGAGTGGTGCAGAAGGAATTCTCTCTATACGAGGAACCTGTGAAAGTATCACTCGTAATGGAATCGACTTTAACTAAGTCTGTGTATTTTTGACCGAATCAGGAAGACTTTAAGACAAGGACTCCTTTAAGATAGACTTCACAGAGATCTGTGAAGGTTTGTAGCATATTACTAATGGTTCTATTTTGCATTATTTCTGTCACTTGCTATACATTTCCAGTTTGTTTTATGTTTGTTTTCCTAGGATTTATGACATGTATTTGCTACTTGTAAATATTTTCGACTTTTCTAAAATCGCGGCTTTCTAAAATGTCATTCCTGGATTGTTATCAGAACCCAGAAGTCTCTATTTGTATTTGTATACTGTGTTTATTTGTATACTCTCTTTGTATACTGTGTTTATCACTTACTTTCCGTTAACGATACCACACTCTCTCCCACTCTGCTTGGTGCTGGTGTTATTAAGCCTTATTTTCTTGGCTTTGTATTTGAGACCTGCCTTGGTGTGTTCACTTCATTTCCCCCATGTCCTTGTTTCCAGCCAGCCTGTGTCTTTTTTTTTTTTTTTCGGCTTTGTTGGCTAAAGTCTTGCCGAGCTTACCTTGCCTTCTCTTTGTGCCCTGATGTACCTCATGCTTTTACCTTTACCCATTCCTCAGCTTCCTCCTATTGTCCCGGGACCCGTGGACTGTTGGGTTAGAGTGTCACGTGCACAGGAAAGCTTTCTGAACCCCTCTCCTAAGTCAGCTCTTCTGAAGTGCTCAGCGACCCCGTGCTTTTCTTACGTAGCGTTGCACCTACTAAGTACTGAATAGAGTACAAGCTGCTCAGTTTCTCTCCAGTTCCTCCCCCCCACCCCGTGAACTCCAAGAGGTACATCACATGTGCCTTGTTCACTGCTATATTCCAGCTCCAGTCTATGCCTTAAGACACAGAGCTCTAAGCCATGTGCCTGATGGTTCTCATTTTGCATAATCTTTAATTTTCAATATTTTATCGGTTCTGCAGACCTCCCCTCAATACCTCTTACATACCCGGCCACCTGTTAGTCATCCCCACTGACTTGTCTGTCCCGTGGCCAATTGAACTTGAACAAGTTAGAATTTGAGTTCCCCTTAATGGATATGGAAAACCCGTTCTATGATTCCTTTGACCGCCCCCCATCACTCCTCATAGTATATACCCCAAACTCTCTCTTTTTTAAAAAAACATTTCTGGGCCATACCCAGTGATGCTCAGGACTTTGCTTGGTGGACCATATAGGACGCTGGGTTGGCTGTGTGCAAAGAAAGCACCTTACCTGTGGTACCGTCACTCTGGCACAACTCTAGACTCTCTTAAGAGAATATTTCAAGTCTGTTCCTGCCAGGCCTTAGTCTATACTGTGCATGTACTACCTGTTTATTCTGGCTCCTTTTTCGGAGTGTGTATGGGGGTGGGGTGGGGGGTGGGGCACACCCAGCAGCGCTTGGGGCTTACTCCTGGCTCTTTGCTCAGGGATCACTCCTGGCAGGGTGAAGGACCATATGGAGTGCCAGGTATGGAAGCCTGGTCGGGTGTGTTGCCTTGCCAGCTGTACTGTCTCTCTGACCCTTGTCCCGAGTGTTGACTTCTCCAGGTCATTTGCCCTCTCAGTAATCCACCTTCTCTCAGGACGGGGGCCTTGAGGAATGCTGGGTGAATGTTCTTAGCTGTGCCATCATGGTTGACTTTGCCCTTCTGTCTGCAGCGTCCTTCATTCTCCCTCCCTTTGTTTCATGCATTTTCAAGAAGCAGCTCCCATCCTGCCATCAAGTAAACCTGTGTGTAAGTGTTTCTTGAGTAACAAACTATGAACTCACTGTGTGTTTGCACCCTGTGTAACTTTGGGACACTATTGGGATCTGTCCTCCCATTTGTATGTAAGGAAATGTAGTTCTGCTGACTCCAAGAACTGATGGACTCTAACTTACTGGTGTATCTTCTCGTGAGCATCCTGGAGCTGTGGCTGTCTCTGATCCTAGGGGTGCAGGCAGGCAGTTGCCTATGACCAGTGGGCCTGTATGAAGATAGTTTGCTGACAATGCTGTGAAGATTGAGGGCCAGCTGGCCTGAAGAAACCCGGATTCTGCACGTTTTCTCATTTCAGGGATATCTGTCCTTTTTTAATTACTGTAATTTCTTTCATATGTATGCATATAGATAGATAGATAGATAGATAGATAGATAGATAGGTCCTTTTTTAATTATTGTAATTTCTTTCGTATGTATGTATATAGATAGATAGATCGATAGATAGATAGATAGATAGATAGATAGATACACATGTAGTTAAGTTTTTATACTTTTGAGTTTGTATGTAAGTTTTTTTTTAAATAGAGCATTAAAATGTCTTCTTAGTTTGTAATATACAAACATCGTGTAAGCCTTCTCTATTCATTTGTATCAGATAGGATTTCTGGGTACAGAGGCCATTTCAAGCGAGTACCAGCAACTTGAACTATTATCAGTTCCTATTTCTAGGAAGTTTATCTATTGAAGTGAGCTTGTTTAGTCAGCCACAATTTTCCATGTGTCAAAGCTGAGATTCTAATGCGGGAATGAATACAAGGCACCAGCGCCGAGTGACAGAGCAAAGCTGTGGACGAGAGGGACTATACCTTTGGGTTTGGGGATTGAGAAATTTGGAACAAAGGAGGGAAAGATTGGGTGTTCGGGCCAGATATGCTGGTGAGCAGGGGTCAGTCTCAGAGGTGCTCAGCAGTGCTGAAGGCTGAACCCAAGCCTCCTGAATGTAGGTATGTACTCAGGGAGTTGAACTCTTTCTCTGGTATGGAAAAGTTGCATTTTTTTATTGTTTTTTTTTATTTGGGTGCCATATTTAGTGGTGCTTAGAGCTTACTCCTGGCTCTATATTCAGTGATTTCCTGGCAGAGCTCAGGACCATATTACAGTGCTGGGGATTGAACCTGGGTAAGCAAGTACAAGTGTAAGTGTGCAAGGCAAGTGGCCTACCCACTGTGCTATGTCTCCATCCCCTGGAAGAACTTTTTTTTTGGGGGGGTGTCACACCTGGCAATGCCCAGGGGTTACTTCTGCCTCTGCACCCAGGAATTACTCCTGGCGGTGCTCAGGGGACCATATGGGATGCTGGGAATCAAACCCAGGTTGGCCGCGTGCAAGGCAAACACCCTACCCGCTTGCTGTACTATCGCTTCAGCCCCAGGAAAAACTTTTTTAACACTGCTCTGGTCACTGTTGCTGGTAAAGCTTGTGGACTATAGGACAGCGGTGCAGCAGACAGGTGCAGAGTAAGAGGAGCTGTCTTAGAAGGGGAGATGGAAGGTGCTGCAGATAAACTTGATCTTGATGGTTCTTTTGTTGGCAGAGCTGGGTTCTTCCCTCCACACTCCCCCACCACTACATCATTTTCAAGGGAGATCATAAGGCACTTTCCTTGCATGTAGCCAACCCCAGTTTGATGCTGAGTACCACATGGTCCCCCAAGTACCACCCGATGTGGCCTCCCAACCCCCAAAGAACGAAACACTTGATCCTGAGTGAAGAACAGATGGCTGCCACTTGATGTCATATACACAGCCTCTGACCCCCACTGTAGTCCCTAGCACAACTTTACATTTGGGAAAAAAAAAAAACCTTTGAAGCCCATGTTTTGTTTTTGAAATCTGGGGCCATATCTAATGTTGCTCAGGGGTCACTTCTTGTGCTTGGGGGTCCAGAAGGTGCCAGGGATTGAACCTGGACCTCCTGCACGCAAGGCCTCCACTCCACTCTAGCCTCCTGAGCCTCTCTCTCTGCTCCCACGTGTTTATTAATACAAAGTCTACATATAGAAGTTTGTAAAAACCAGTCTCTGAAGCTTTTATTAAAAGTGGGCGTGGGTCTGATGAACAGTGTAGCAGCTCAGAGAGTGGCTTAGAACACTGGCCTTGCAATCATAAATCCCTAAGTTCAAGTCCTGGTGGCCCCCTTGCAATCCTGATGCCTCTGCTGTTCCGGATCCCTCACACTGCAGGCGAGTGAGCTCACAAGAGGAGTGCCGAGGTGGGAAGTGAACCTTCTGGTGAACATAATCCTAACTTGTGTGTTCCTCTCCCCCACATACCTGTGTGCAGGCATGTAACTCTCAGTGACAACGCTGTGGAGTGTGTAGTGCCCCCCTTCAGTTGGAGAAATAAAGAAAAATAGTCCTATCAAAGTGGGCATGAATAAAAAATAGAGAGATTTGCACAGGGGGCTGAGAGGCCCAGAGCCCTTAAGTGCAGTTTCCTAGTTTTCATCTTTGGACATTTCTCAGTTCATTTCCCAACCACAAACTTATCACAAAAAAGATAGAAAAAACCAACACCTTAATTAGTACAGTACAATGCACTCCTTGTTATAATCAAAGTATTTAGATTTCAAAGGGCTTTGTAGGGGGAAGTTTCTAGAATGTTCAGGTAGAGAAATCCTGCAGTAAGTGAAAAACCATAAAAACCAGCCATGCATTTTTCAATGAAGTATTTTAATCATTTATTTTTGGGTTTTGGCAAGAGCCCTACATGCTGTATAGGCCCCTCAAATATTTAAAATCTTCCTCTTTTTGAGATTCAGAATGTCTTGCAGCTATTTCCAGCAGTTTCTGTGAATGCTGAAAACCTGGCTGCACGGACTCCTTTTCCTTATGTCAGCTGTTGAAATGCAATGGGGTTGGTTTTCAATTTAAAAATCACCTGTTTCTCAGAAAGTTAAGTAAAACCTAAGACCCAAAACTTAATCCATCCCCAGTGATTCTTACCCAAAATGTACTTAAAACCATTCAAAGAGCTGTTTTTGCAAATCTGATTTAAAAGCAAAAACTGGATTATTAGCTAGACCTTCACAATCTTGGTGAATATGGTCATACTCAAGCTGCCCTCAAGCTGCAATATTTTTATTCCATAAAATAAAAATTTATAAAATGGCTTGAATTGGATGAACTAAATCTTGACTAGTCTTTGATAATGCAAGTTTTTCTACCAAATTAAAAAAAAAATGCCTATGCTTGCCATCCGTGCTGTCTTGTTCTTTAAATTTTTTTCAGGGACACATCCCATAAGTTAATTTAGTACTACCTTACAAGAAAAGAACGTTTCTGCAACTTTGGTTTTCGAGCATTTTTTTAAAAAATTTTTGGGTCACACCCTGCGATGCACAGGGGTTACTCCTGGCTTATGCACTCAGGAATTACTCTTGGCGGTGCTCCGGGGACCATATGGGATGCTGGGAATCGAACCCCGGTTGGCCGCATGCAAGGCAAACGCCCTACCTGGTGTTTAAAAGTGCTCGAGGGGCTACCGCTCCAGCCCCTGGAGCACTTTTTATACACACTCCATGATGAGAAGGGCAACGTTGGGAGAAGGACCTCGCGTACAAACACACAAGTCTGGCTTGGAACCTCGAACCCGCCTAGAGGGGGGGGGAACTAAAGGGTGAATGAAACCCCCGAGCACCGAACAACCGGCAGAGAGTCAGCCCAGAAGGCCGCGCGGCTGCGCACGCGCGCCGCAGGCCCGCCCCTTCCGGGAGGGGACAGCCCGCCGCGCCGCGCGCGCCCTTGAAGACCCGCCTCTCTTCCGCCAGACCTCCCTTGTCATTGGCTGGCCGAGATGCATATAAGGACGTCACTTCCGCCCGTCGCTCCTTTCCGCGCTGCCCAGCGAGGGACCCATACGGCGTTGTTCACGGTGAGCGCGTGTGGCTGTTTCTTGGGCCCGCCAAACGCCGGGACGGACTTCCAGCACTGTTTGGGGGCGCGCGGGCACCAGGGGATTGGCAGCCGGCGGCTGGCGCGGGCCCGCCGGGACTCGGGGCGGTCCCGCACGTGGCGCGGCCTGCGGGGCCCGGGAGAGATGGCGCCGGGCCCGGGCAGCGGGCGCCTCGCCGCGCCGCGGGTCGCTCTCCGGATCTACTCAGGGTCCCGGGGACACGACCGCCTGGGGAGATTACCGAGCCGCCCCCTGCCGTCTATCTGGAGAACAAAACGTGTCCCTGCCACATGCTTAGACTGAAGCTCAGTCTCTGCTTGTGTTTGCTTATCTTGCTGCATCTGCCTGCCGTGTTGGCTCGTCCGGGGCTCTCTGAACGTCCTTCAGTCCCGCTATCCACTTCCCAGCAAGATTTGCTGCACTTGGAAGCAGTGACTTGTCACATTCCCCACTCGTGACCTGCATGCCTGACTCTGGAAGGTAGAGGTCTAGATTGCATTTCAGGAGTTTGACACAGTCTGTCGTGATGCACCTGTTAACCACACCCACATACACAACCCCACCCTTGCTTGCTTTAATATTTTCACTTGGGTTACTGGAATGAGGAATGAACGGATTTAACGGAATTTTCTCCCTTCCAGATTCCCGTCGTAACTTAAAGGGAAATTTCACAATGTCCGGAGCCCTCGATGTCCTGCAGATGAAGGAGGAGGATGTCCTCAAATTCCTTGCAGCAGGCACCCACTTAGGTGGCACCAACCTGGACTTCCAGATGGAACAGTACATCTACAAAAGGAAAAGTGATGGTAAGTTTGGACTCGTGACCTATATATAGCCTAGGAAAAATCTGGCCCTGCTGTTTTTGTGGCTCTTAGGACATTGTGTTGTTTCTAAATCTCTTTCGGGCAGCTCTGCCTCTAATGAAACTCCATTACTAGATCATAGTTTTAGTTTTTGATTTTCTTTTGTGTGTGTTTTGGGGCCGTGTTTGGTGGTGCCCAGAATACCAGATGCAAGCTAGGCGAGGCACTATAACCATCTATTCTTGCAGCCCAGAAGACAGTTTTAAAAATTAAGTGCATGTTTGAAGCAGCATAAAATTGGCGGTTGTTGAAAGTCGTGATTTGGGGCATAAAGTGTTGGTGGGTGTTTGTGATGAATTTGAGGAAAGATGGGAATAAGCAGTTTGGCTTGGGAGAGATGGTTGTGATGAGGATGTGGAAAACATTGTTAGGCCATGGTAGCATTCAGTTTGCTGATCATTGAAAGATTAAAGGCTGGGTCTTAAATTCTTGGGGAGGGAACTGGCGTGAGGGGAGAGTCCAGGAAGCGACTTAATAAGCTTACAAAAGGGACCCGCCGGTGGAAGGTAAGTGGAAGGGAAAGATGTATCTTGCCTTTTGGGTCAAAACTGCACACTATTAAAGCTCAGGGTGGAGGCCAGTTTTGGCCAATGACCTTCTGAGTGTCGGAAGTGTGCTATATAAAATGGCAGGATTTTCGCTAACACCAGTAGAGCTTGTCTCGATGACTGGAGTTTGATAGTACTCGCTGCCACATTCCAGCCTTTTAGAAGAATGTCGGTTTATCAGCCTGGGTTAGATGTTACAAGGGCTTCTGTCGCCTAGGCATCTACATCATAAATTTGAAGAGAACCTGGGAGAAGCTTCTGCTGGCAGCTCGTGCCATTGTTGCCATTGAAAACCCAGCCGATGTCAGTGTGATCTCATCCAGGAATACTGGCCAGGTTTGTGACCAACTTTTTTCTTTGGTTGGGGGGGCCAGATGCTTGTGGCCCTGGGTCTATTCTCCAGGGACCATATGCAGTGCTGGAGGTTTGAACCAGGGACAACTCCATGCAGACAAATCCTTTACTTCCTGTATTGTCTCTCTGACCCTCAGGCTTTTTTAATTTAAAAATAGACAGTTTAAAGACTTTGATGATGTATAGGAGAGAGTTAACCAAAAGTAACATGTCACTTTGGAATTCCAAATTGACAATATTATGGTCAACATATCACTTAGCGTATGTTATGTTGTTCTTCAGTATTCATCACTTTTTATTCCCAAATATCAAAACCCCCTTTGAAATGCTAGTGATATTTTCTCATTAAAATTTTTTAATTTTGGAATTTTGTTTTATACCTGATGGTATCTCTCCATTCTCCCAATTTTTATATTTTAAATTACTGAAGTGGGCCAAAAATTGGCCAGCTGTAGACTTAAGCTAGGGGAGAGGTCTTCTACCTTGGGGTTGGAGTACAGAGGGCAGGTACAGGGTGGTTTGCCTTGCATGCAACCAACCCGGATTTGATTTTCTGTTTTCCCAAATGGTCCCTCGAGCACTGCCAGGAGTAATTGCTGGTGTACAACCAGGAGTTAACCCTGAGCATTGGCCGGGGTATGTGTGATCCAAGAAAACCAACCAAAATGGTCTTTTCCCAATTTTAAGTCAGGGGCAAGCATAAGAATCTTCGTTATTTTAATGGTATGTTTTTTTTTTTAAACTGGGGTAAGTGGGGTAAGCGTTACCACCCCTAGCCACCTCCGATGGCAGTCCTAGTTTTTATTCTTAGGGGATGGGTAAACTGAATATTGAATTTCCACTAGATGTGTAGCAGGACTGGAAACTCAACATTTACACTTAAGAGCTCTGACTTGACACTGTTAATTTTTTTTAATTAGTGAAACACCATGAGTTACAGTTGTAGACTTACAAATTTTTGTGCTTCAGTTTCAGTTATACAGTGATCGAGTACCATCCCTCCACCAGTGCCCATTCTCCACCACCAATGATCTCATCATCCCTCCCACTCCCACCCCGCCTCTGGCAGGGCATTTCCATTTGTTCTCTCCTTTTGGGTGCTGTGGTTTGCATTGAGGCATTGAGTGGCAGTCATGTTCGGTCTATAGTCTACTTTTAGTATCCTGGGCAGATCCTCTCAACACCCATTACTTGGTGCTCCCTTCTCTATCTGAGCTGCCTTTTCTCCCAGCATGTGTGGCTGGCCTCCACACCATGCAGTAAGCCTCCTGGTACTTATCTCGACTATTCTTGGGTGTTAGTCTCCTATTTTGTTACTTTATATTCCACAGATGAATGCAATCTTTCTATGTCCGTCCCTTTCTGACTCATTTCACTTACTGTATTTTCCATGTAGTACCACTTGTATGTAAATTTCATAACTTGATCCTTTTTTAACAGCTGCATAGTATTCCATTGTCGAAACTGTTAATTCTATCCTAGCGTGCTGTGCTGAAGTTCGCTGCTGCCACCGGTGCCACTCCAATCGCTGGCCGCTTCACTCCTGGAACTTTCACCAATCAAATCCAGGCGGCTTTCCGGGAGCCGAGACTTCTGGTGGTTACTGATCCCAGGGCTGACCACCAGCCCCTCACAGAGGCTTCTTACGTTAACCTGCCTACTATTGCTCTGTGTAACACAGACTCTCCTCTGCGCTATGTGGACATTGCCATCCCTTGCAACAACAAGGTAATTTGTGACTGGCACTGGAGTTTGAGACTGGATGTTCTAGAAATCCGTTGGGGTGTGATTCTGCACATTGTTAGAGCTTGGAGTTGAGGCCACTGAATGGTCGATGAACTCTCAAGTGTAGGTAGTGTGCTACACGAGGGGCAAGTCTTTCGCTAACACCACAAGGGTCTTTGGCCCGATGAGTGGGGTTTGATAGTAATTCTTGCTACAAATAAAGATTTTTGATGTGTGAGCTTAGAAATGATGAATGCACGGGAAAATGTCCTGATTTCTTACGTGTTCTATTAACCTACTTGGGTTTCTTAGCTATGATGTGACCTTTTCTTTTTAGACCAACTTTGTGAATCCTGCTTTAAGATCCCAAAAAGGTGGGTTGTGTATGTGAAATAGACTTAAGTTGCCAGCTGATCAGTCTGGTTCCACTCAGGTAACCCAGAAGTTAAAAGTATCACTGTATGGATACTAATGCCAAGAATTACAATTTTGTTTCTTGGAGTTGAAAGTTGAGAACCATGGATTTATAGAATTATCTTGGCATATAAACACTTGCAAACTGCAAAGGGCATGTCTGTTACAGAGTTAGCTAGATGGTCTGTGGTTACAGAATGAGCAGAACGCTTGGAACTGCCACTCCCAGTGATGATTGGCCAAGCAGGCTGGACGTTTCGGTACTGAGACAGGGCCCAAGGATGTACCAGGGGTGGGACGGGATCCTGTGTATGTAAAAACATGTGCCCTTGGTCTTGTCACTGTTCAAATGACCTGTCACTTTTGCAGGGAGCTCACTCTGTGGGCCTCATGTGGTGGATGCTGGCCCGGGAGGTTCTGCGCATGCGAGGCACCATCTCCCGTGAACACCCATGGGAGGTCATGCCTGATCTCTACTTCTACAGAGATCCCGAGGAGGTGAGCTTTCTTCACTAATCTTGGGCTGGCATAAGCAACTTGCCTGCTTAGGTTTGTGCTCCTTGGGTGCTAGGGTTGCCATTCCAGTAAAATTTCCTTTTAATAACCAGATTGAAAAGGAAGAGCAGGCCGCTGCTGAGAAGGCCGTGACTAAGGAGGAATTCCAGGGTGAATGGACTGCCCCAGCTCCAGAGTTCACCGCGACTCAGCCTGAGGTTGCAGACTGGTCTGAAGGGGTGCAGGTGCCCTCTGTGCCCATTCAGCAGTTCCCTACTGGTATGTATGATGGTCGTGCCTCAAGTGGTGGTTTGGAACTACGTGTTGATCCAAGTTCAGCGATCTCTGCCATATTTTCCTAGTGTGAGATACCTGGATTTCTGTCAAAAGTTGAACTCAAAGATATTTCCAATTATCTTTTGGAAAGATCTGTCTTTGTAATGAACTTCTGATACAGTGCAAGACGGATTGGTGTTGGCGGGGGGGGGGGGGGCGTTAAGTGACGAAAAGACTAAGTCGGGTGGAGCTCATTGTTTTTATTGTTTTTTATTCACAGAAGATTGGAGTGCTCAGCCTGCCACAGAAGACTGGTCTGCGGCTCCTACTGCTCAGGCCACTGAGTGGGTTGGAACCACCACCGAGTGGTCTTAAGCTGTTCGTCTAGACTCAAACGGGAAATGAAAATAAGGTTGGCAGGAAATAAAATAAATGAGTTTCTAAAAGTGTGTCCCATTTTTAAAAAATTTATTCCGTTGGTGCAAGATTGAAGACTTTGTATATAAGTGGTTTGGGGTCTTGACCTCTATTACTATTTATGTCAGATCTATAGGGCATCTTGAAGTGGGCTGCTGTCGTTGCCACCTTGAGAGTTATTAGTCCTGCCTCTTGATTTTCAAACCAGTTAGTAACTGTCAAAGATTTACAATGGATTCCCTAGCAAGAACTGTGCTAGCATACTGGAAGCTAAATTTCCCTATTTGGTCCCAATGTACTAGAGTACAGTACTCACAGGGATCACTTCTGGTGACCAGGGCAGCACTTGTCTAAAGAAAGAATTGCAAACGTTAGACTGTTAGGGAGGCCCAGTCCCACCAAGTAAGCAGAGGTGCTAGAGATCCAGCCTTCTTTGGGAGCTGTTCCTGTTTTTCATTTTAAATTTTGAGTTTTTAACCCAAGGCATAGACTTTTTTTTTTCGGGTCACACCTGGGGATGCTCAGGGGTTATTCCTGGCTTTGAACTCAGGAATCACTCCTGGCAGTGCTTGGGACCTTATAGTCAAATTCCCTTATGCTGGGAATCAAACCCAGGTCAGCCATGTGCAAGGCAAACGTCCTACCCACTGTGCTATCACTCCAGCCCCACGGCATAGAATTTACCGCTATGTCAAGAGTGCAGGTGGGTCTTAACTGTTTAGGAAATAAAGCAGTCACCAGCATCCATCAAGTTCCTCCAGCCCAACTTCTGGGGTCCATTCAACACCTACCCTAAGGGGTAACATCCCATTCCAAATCAAGAGATTTGGAAGAGAAAGTGACATCCCCCTTGTCCTAAGTAATGTATGAATGGGTTTGTGATGTTTCAAAATCTCTGAAGTTAAATGTTTCATAAACAAGTAGATTGTTATTTTAAAACAATACTTATTAAAATCCTGTATGTTTACAATTTAGAAGTGCAGCCACTTTAATACACAAAAAGGGAATGTGGAGTGGGAATGTGCTGGTGTGGAGTTTGGCAAATCAAATAAGGAACTGCAAGGAGCACCGGTGCGGTAGTATAGTGGGTAGGATATTTGCCTTGCACCTGAGCAACTGGGGTTCCTTCCTGTATGATCCCCAGAGCACTCCCAGGAGTAATTGCTGAGTGCAGAACGAGGAGTACCCCTGAGCATTACCGGGTATGGTGCAGAAAGCCAAAAAAAAAATGCAAGAACAGCAGGATGAAAAAAGAACATCCAGGGCCTGAAGAGGCAGTGCAGTGAGTTAGGTGCTTGAATTGATGCAGCTTTGTTTCCCAGCATACCATGTGGTTCCCTGAACACCACCAGGAGTGAGACCTGCCAGGTGTAGCCCTCCCCCTGGCTCCCCAACAGTCTAGAGGGAAGAGAAAAGAGAACGGGAATGTCAGTATATGAGAAAAAAACCAATTTTCTCAAATTCTGAATC